TACAATGAGATGGGGTCATAAAGCTAATCCGATAGGTGGTTCATAAACTTACAACCACAATTCCAAGAAGTTGTAGACGCAATGGAAGTCAATGGTGAACGAGATATAGCTGGTATTTTAGCGCGGCTTTAATGCCATTGAAAGATATGAAAGATGCAGATATTTTGGACCAGTATGAAATGAACATGGCTGATGGAAATATAACACCTGACGTTCTAGAACATTTATCTCAAAGAACTACACAGAACCATAGAGATGGTATATTTGGTGAAGAGTTTAGAAAGAAAGTTAGGGAGGAGAAGGAAGAGAACCTATTGTACATGACCTTGCAAACGAAAGTTTACAAAATGTCATAAAAACTTACTTTGCAGACAATGAACCGAGAAGGGATGAATATTTAAGAAAACTCAAATGGACAGTACCAAATGAAATGTTAGTATTGAAAAACATGTTCCTTGACAAAATAAAACCAACTACAGAAATAAACGACGCAAGACTGAAAGATTGGGTAGAAGCTTTCCCATTCACAAAAGATATAGTTGGTAACATGGAAAGAAAACCAGAATGGCTACAAAAACATATATTTGGAAACGAGCTTATTCCATATGGACAGGCACTGTTTGAAGAGCTTGAACCAGAAACTCAGGAAAGAGTCATGCAAACAATACGCGAAGACTCAAATACAGACTATGACAAACTCTTTCTAGGATATAGGTTACCTGAGATGGGCGACCAGAGCCAAAAGGCAAAAAGGACATGGGAAATTTGCAACATACTAGATGAACATAATGCAAAGATGCAACAACTTCAAGCAGAGGGCAATGAAGGAAAAAGAAGAGTTAAAAACTCAGTCAGGAAGAAAGTAAAGCTTGGTCCACGTGGGTTCTATTATGACATATAAATCCAACTATTCTATATTTTTACTCATATGAAATGTACGCCGCTCAGAATATAACGCCAACAGTTTTGGATGCCATGAATGGAAATGTTTCCGAATGGTATAACGAATGCGACAATGCCATTAGAAGGTCAGAAATAGTTCCTGGAACTTACGAATATACAACTGCTGTTTCTTATGGAAACGTAGGTGAGTTTGGAGAAGGTTCTTCAACAACAGTAGATATTGCTTGCGACAGGTTTCATATAATTTCTATTGACAACTCTTTCTTATACGTGGAACAAGACATTGAAATAAAACCTTCTGCCAAGTTGTCTGACAAGAAAGGTTGCAATGGAATTTTCTATGTCGGATACCAATATGCTCCAGAAGTTTTCATGGGATATAAGATATATTCTAACTCTGACTTAGTTCAAACAGTAACATGGGCAAACTATGAATGGTTCGCTTTGAGAAACTCAGTACAACCACAAGCTAGAGAACAAACAGACCAGTATGCAACTATTGAGAAAATAAGAAGACTTGACCCTAACGTTCCAGGAGTTTATGTTAACCTTTCTGGACAAACTGCAGCAGCAGTAACCAAAGTAAAACTGAAACTTAGAGTTCCTTTGTCATCTTTCCTCATCTTCAGGTTTTTAAGATACTTGCCAAACTGGGCAGGAAAAATTTCTATCGAACTTACTCCAAGCAAAAATAACTTAGTCATTGCACCAACACAAGACCCATTCACTCTTACAGACGTAAAGGGAACAAATAAAACGTCATTCGCCGACTTTTGCAAAGACAAAGTTGACTTAGACTTTGGTTTCTCAAACCTCAACACTGAAGTAAACTATTATTTCAATGCTGCTGGAATGCTTGGGACCCAGTTAAGTTCACATGCGAAAAGTTTGAATGCAAGAGAATAGAAAGCAGACTTGCAGTCTATATGTTGGACCCAGATATTTCAAATGCTTTAGCTGCCAAATATATTGCAGTTCCACTTATGTTCCCTATACACCAAATATCTGTCAAAGACTTTGCAGGTGAAGTTGGAAACCAAAGTGCTGACCCAGGTGCAAGAACAGATATTGCTTTAACAACTGCAATGAAACATGCAGATACTATGTTTGTACTGTTCAGACGAACTATAAATGACTATTCTTGCTTCTACAACCCTGGTATTAAATACCATATAAACATAGATGGCAAATACTATCCAAGAGAAGAATATTCTACAGTTGAGGATATGAGGTCATACAACTTGACATTAGATGCTATGAACTTTAACAACAACTTCACAACAACATTAACCCTGAAATGCAAAGTTCTATTATGCCATATGTGAAAGTATGGACTCATACAGGAGCTCAAAAAACTCAATATACAAATGGAGACCGTTCAAACTTTTGGCTTGGCATTCCATTTGCTGACTCAGAAGACTTTATGGGTGGTATTTCAACTGTTGGTACAGTTCAAACAATATACTGGTGACAGAGACGGTCCAGATGAATTGAAAGCAAAGAAGTTTACAAAACCAATAGCACTTTTCACGGAAGATGCTCTTTTGAAGATTCGTTCGATGAAACCTGCTGGGGCTCCTCAGATTGGCATAACGACAGCTTCCATCGAGCAGATTTTGGCAGCAGGTCAGTAAGTTGTTCTTGAACTGACTTCTCTCCGTCAAATATTGACAGTACGCCAGTTTTGACATAAATTGTATTATAAACTTACCTTTAGAAATATCGGTCAGTTTTGTTGTTATATTTTTGTCTGCTTCAAGAACTTTCACCATCTCGGTTATACCAACTTTCTTTGCTTTATGAAAATATTTTGGTTCAGCAAAGACTGCTATTCTATAACATTTTCCATTGTTTGTGTAAAGAACTATTCTGTCAATGTATTTGTATTGTTTGTGTGTGTAAACTTTGTTTTGCTTCAATTCGAAGAGATACTCAAATACGTCCATCTTTTTATTCTAAGTAAAATGTCATTTCCGAAAAATAGAAGCGTAAGTGTTTCAAAAGGTTTAATGGCGGTGGCAGATGTGAAGTTAAATTCACCAACTCAAACAAACAGTCAAAGTGTTGTTGTCAATGTCAAAGAAAGAGATGTTGAAGTGGGGAAACCATACGAAGACGAAGATGGTATAACAATAGTTCCTGTAAAAGAACAACCAACATACCCTGAAGTTAGCAGAGACTTAAGTTCTGTTGCAGATATTCGAAACGACTACCAACAACTTAAAGACAAACTTAAAACTCAGGAGAAGATTTGTCAAGCTTTGGGTATAATGTTAAACTTGGTCGAACACAACCCTGTAAAAGTGAACTCATATGTCATCGCACCTCATGAAATTTTGAAAGAACTATTGAAACTTTTGACAGAGGCAGACGATATAAACATCAAAGAAATAGAACCCGACATTGCTTGCTGTGGTGTTTCATATAATGTCATTGACAAGATATACGTTATGAAAGGAGGTGAAACGTTGAACTTAAAATATAGTTTCCCAGACGTCATAAAATATTTGACGACCACAACATTTCATTAAAATTTACTTGCTAAGTAAATGGCAGAAGACATAGTGGTTTATACTATTACGACTAAAAACCCTGAGTCATATAATTCTATAACAACAAACTTACAAAGTCCTCAAGGACGATATTGTAAACTGACCTTAAACACAATGACGACTAAAGCCTGTTTTGCTCTTTTGACACCAGAAGACTTTGTTGTTGTGAATGGTAAAAAATACTTCTTTGAAGATACTTCAGAATATACCACCAACAGGTTTTGTTGACTTATTTAATACTTTAAGGACGGATGTAACATGTGCTGCAACTAGAGCAGGTTTCATTATGTTTGGATGTCCGACTGAGTTTACTATAAACGATATGAGCTATAATACAAAACTTATATCTGGTTTTTACTACCAACAGTTTCCTATAACAGGAAAAGGTGTCATACAAGGAATGTCTGTTCCATTGACTTTAAGTACACCAATCTTATATATTGTTTCAAACTTAGGTTCAAAGTGTTATTCGAATGTCGACAGAAACTACTATGACCAAAAGATACTCATGCGTATAAACAACACTTTCTCTGCTGGTTTGCCTATTGTTCATTCGAATGCAGAGTTTTCAGCTTTAGTAACTCAAACACTTTAGCAAACATAAACTTAACCTTAGTTGACGCAAACTTTGTTCCTGTAAAACTTTTATGTCCTATGTATTTGTCAATGACGGCAGAAAGTTTCGAATTGGAAGATGCAACTGGTGAAAGTATTGTATTACAAGAACAACTTCAACAACAAATAGCTCAAGAACAACAAATGCAACAAATGGAACAAATGCAACAACAAAGTCAAGAATAAAAAAATATTTTTTTTATTTTTATAAAAATGTACAGAATAGATGTTTCAGATTTTTATGACTTCCAAGCGTTCAGAAATATGTGTCCATTTAGAGACTATAACAAAGCAGTCGAGAATTTGAAACGTTTAGTCATTTATGTTGACTCTGCCCCAGAATGTTATGTCATGAAAGAATGGGATGTTGTCTTTAACAAACCAAGAGCAACCATAGTTTCAGAACAAGAATGTAGACAGAAACTTAAGAAAATAAAAGTCGTACAAGTTGGTATGAAGATGTTAGATGCTTGGGATATCTTATTGTCAAAGTTAGAAGATTTTTCAGTTCGTGGTATAAAGTTCTATACACCATCTCCAAACTTCTATTCTATCTTCACTGGATATAAATACGAACAAGTAGAATGGAAAGAAAATGTTATAGAAGCTTGGTTAGACCATGTCAAAGAAATTATATGCAATGGAAACGAAAGAGTCTATGAGTATATCTTATGTTGGTTTGCAAACATCTTACAACATCCAAGTGCTAAAAATGAAACTGCTCTCATTATAATTGGAAAACAAGGAACGGTAAGAACACTTTCTTTACAGATATCTTATGCAAACTGTTAGAGGGCTATTCGAACCCTAATATGACAAACTTAGAAAACATCTGCGGTAAATTTAACTCTTCAATAGAGAATATGAAACTTATAGTATGTAACGAACTTCAAAGTATAGATACAACAAAGGTTTTAAACTCAGATGCTTTGAAGAGTCTTATAACAGACAAAGTTGGAGTTGTTGAAAGAAAATATAAAGACCAAAGAGTTTGTGAAAATGTTGCAAATTTCATCATGGTTTCAAACAACGTTCCGATGAAGTTAGAAAGTTCTGACAGAAGATATGTAGTTGTCAGAACGTCAGAAGCTCATATGCAAGATACAGAATATTTTGACGACTTAGCAGAAACTTTGACATCTGACTTTTACAACCACTTGTTCTCATATTTCATGACATTAGATATTTCTAAGTTCAATCCAAGACAAATTCCACATACCGAAGAGAGACAAACATTGTTAGAAGCAAACAAGAGTGTTTATGAACTGTTCATAGATGAAACTGACTTTGAGTGTTTAGATGAAAGGTCATTGTACGATTCATATAAACAGTATTGTCAAGAGTATGGTTATATGGCAGCTTCTAAACGTACATTCTTGGCAAATGTCAAAAATCTTTTAGATGTTCAGAACGGCGTATATACAAAGAAAAATTTTTATGAGTAAATTTTAAAAAAAATATTTTTTTATCCGATAGAAAAGATGGCAAAATTCATCTCAGTAAACAAGTACATGACAGAAGTCAAAGAAGAACTAGACCCATTCGCATATTTGAATGTTTACTTCTACCATTTTGAAAAGTCTACATTTGACAAAGTTTGGAACATTGCACCGGTTAAGTTTGCTATTGTGACTAAAAATGGTGCGAAATTTGAAGACTTAGACATTGACGGTATGTTGACAGTCAAAGAAAATTTTGACAGAAAGTTCTCAAAACTCGAAGAAGGCAAAGCATACAAACTTGTTATACCTTATGAACCAAAGAAAGCAGACGACTATGAATATTATGAGTCTAAGATAGTTGAAGTTCAAGGTAAATTGGGTAAAAAGATTTTAGAGTCTAAACCAGTGTTTACTCCTAAAGAGGAAGAGAACATTGACATTGACCCAGAAATGTTCTAAAAATAAAATTTTATTTTTACATGTCAAATTTCTTTTTCTCTGGAACTGGCTCTGGTTCTTTCTTCTCTTCTTCTACTTTCTTTTCTTTCTTCTCTCTCTTCTTCTTCTTCTCTGGTGGAGTTATGTCAAATTTCTCTGAACCATATTTCTGTAAAAGTTCTTTGTCCTTTAATAGCTCTTCTATTCTGTTTCCTATTTCATCTTCAAGAACAGCGCATGTGTCTTCTTTGCATTCTAAGAACTTTTGTTGGACTTCATCTTTCCAATCGGCGTCATCTCTGTCAACAAGTCTGTCATTGACAAATTTTAAGACTGCTCTTTGTAATGTTTTATGGTTCTTGTCATATTCCCAGAAACAGAACTTTAGAACAAATTCACCTTTCTTGTTTTACACTATGTAAGATTTTATGGTCGACAGATGTTTTGCTGTCAAAAAGTTTGTCTCGAATATAGATAGCGAAATCGCTAGACATTTTCTAAAAGATAAAAATTTTAATTTTTCTAAAAATATGTTAGAAAAAAAGTTTGCTGACATTGACAAGAAATTTGAGAATGTTTTAAAACAAGAACAAGAGGAAGTTAGAAAATGCTCAGATAAAACCCATACATGACAAGTTCTTATTTGCTCAGAATGGTATAACAGGTCTAACGCACCACCTGGGTCGGGTAAGACTTTCACTTATCTTAAAATGGCTGCACAACAACAAGAACTAGATGAGAAGAACCCATTCTATGAGTTAGTTGTTATTTGTAGTACTTCTGTGGTCAATTCGATCAAACCGTAAATTCGTTCAAAGATATTATAAAGAAGTCTAAGTTAGTATGTATAAAAGACTCTGAGTGTTAGATTGGATAAAGAAGTACCAAAGAAGAGTTTTGAAGTAAATGCTATAAATGAGTATGTCAATTCGAAGTTTAAAGACCCAAATGAGGAAATGCAGAGAATATTAGAGAAGAAACACTTCAGAAACAAACAGAAAGAGATAGAATACATTTCGAAGAAATTGCAATCGTACGATTGGAAGACTTTACCCTCATAGATGTCTTCTTATCTTAGATGACTTTGCTTCTCATCCTTTGTTAAAGAACAGAGAACAAGACATGTGTCGAATTCTTAAGAAGCTCAGACACTTTAACATTTCAGTTGTCATTTGTGTACAGACAGCAAAGAGTTTTAAGTAAGGATGTTAAAAGAATACTTACTGACATTATATACTTTTCCCTGGATTGTCCGAAGACGATTTCATGGAACTTATGAAAGAGTCCATGGCAGGTAAGTTTGACAGACATGAACTATGGGAGAAGTACAAAGTCATACAAGACCCTCATACTTCTTTCAGAATTCATATCTACGCGAACAAAGTTCAAATTGTAAAAAGTCAATAAAAATAAAGAGTTTTGGCGACCCCGAAAGAAGTCAGTCTAGAGAAATTTCACTGTTTTTGTTGCTGAATTCAATAAAAATATATTTTAGGTGAAGAGGTGAGATTTCACCTCTTTTTTCACCTGTTTTTTCACCTCAGTTATTTTATAAGCGTTTCACATGGTAAACGTTATTTTTTAAATTTTGTGAAAACTCAACGGTTTGACACAAGCCCTAAAAATTATTTTACTCAGAATTTTGTTGCTGAATTCAATAAAAATATATTTTAGGTGAAGAGGTGAGATTTCACCTGTTTTTTCACCTCTTTTTTCACCTGTTATTTTATAAGCGTTTTACATGAATTGTATGATGTATATTTGAAATCCTAAACAGTTTTGTGGCTTCGATTTCCTCTGTCAGTACATCGAATGTTTTAACAATGCCGAAAGTTTCTTTATATTTCTTCTTGACATCTGAAAGAAGGAAATCGTCAGCTGTTGGATAGTTTTTGTTCAGAAATGCTAACATGTCCATTTTATCTTCTGCTGGTTTCTCTGCTTCTTTCTTTAAGTCAGCATAGTCGTTTCGCATTCTTTCTATCTCTTTGACTGAGTAGTTATATTTCCTCATTGCTGCTTTACATTTTGAACATTGTGGGTTCATTTTTGCGTTATATTCTGAAACCTTACCTGCTAAAACAACTAAGGCGTCAATTGCTCTCTTCATCTCGAACATAGCGGGTCTTATTTGTTCGTTCCATACCTTACCCCTACTATCTTTATCTCTTATTTCCCATACACATTTTGCAACTAATGAAACAAAGTTGTCGTAGGTCTTAAATTCTTCGGATTTGTAAAGGTCAGAGATGTTCTTATATACCATGTCGCAGTCTTTGTCCATGACTTTGTGGTTGCAATGAAATCCAAGAAACTCATAGTTAACCTTTCGTATGAACTTCTTTATTTCTACTGAGTCAGTCAGTCCGACTTCTATTTCATCGAATTCTGGAATAGTGAGTTTTTGTTGTTGGATTTCAGGAAGTTTAGGTAAATGGTCAATAATATCCTGCATTTCATAAAGATACTGTTCATTTGTTTCATCTTTCGCACTACAGTCTAAATTACTTGTTAAAAGTTCTTGCTTTATCTTCTGGATTTTTGTTTCGAAAGTATATGAAGAAGGAATGAAGCTTTTCATCTCTACTAACATTGAAGTTGGGTTCATGACTAACGAGTTTGGTGCTGTTGTTGCTAACATGTTCTTACAATAAAAATAAAAAATATTTTTTTAAAAAAACCAACTTTATTTTTTATTTCGGGAAAATTCAAGAGGGTGAAAAAACAGGTGAAAAAAGAGGTGAAATCTCACCTCTTCACCTAAAATATATTTTTGGGTCATTTACGCTCATTACGATGAAGTTTCGACAAAACATTTACGAAGAAATTCATGAAAATTCATGAGGTGAAAAAACAGGTGAAAAAAGAGGTGAAATCTCACCTCTTCACCTAAAATATATTTTTGCTGAAAAAGTGTCATTTTTTCATGTCCGAAGACTCGAAGGTGCAACACTTCCAAAATACCGACGAACTCAGAAGAGCAGCATGGCAGTATGTTCTTGACAACTTCTTTGAGTTCTCCAGGTACACCTTGGAAAATGCTGAAGAACTCCGACACAGAGAATTTGGAGAAATTGCACTCCAATACTACCTTGACAAACAAAGGGTAAACAAAGGGTAAAATAAGACTAAAAACTTAACGTTTAAAAAGTGACATTTTTATGAGCTCCGAGTCACCGAGAAAACTTGGTCAGATGTTAGCAGCTTACTTCCCTGAGGAGGATGGAAGCGTTACATACGTAAGGTTCAAAAACAACGAACCTGGAATTGCGTACCAAATTCGCAATTACATGACCATGGAAGAGTACGAAAGGTTTCTACAAGAGAAACCAGCTCTAAACAACTCAGAAAAGAAAGAGTAAAAAGTTTAACTCGTAATTGTTTATTTTTTTACTTGTATGGGCAAGCTGCAAGAATGAAGTCGACTATCTCAGTCTTTGTCTTGACCAGTTGGACTGCTCTTGCGAGTACGTCTGTTTTGCGGTCTCCAGCTGGTGTCTGACCTTCGTAATTGCGCATGTTCTTGAGAGCTCCAACTGTAAATGGCTGTAAGATGAAGAGTCTCTCAGACTGCTTGAGGTAGTCTTCACGGTCACGAACCGAATCTGTGGTACGAGTCGAATTGGTCGACCTTAGGGAAGAGACTGAAAGCCTGTCATCTTCCATAGGGGCTGTGGCATACTCTTTGCGTAAACGGTTCAGACCTTCTTCGAACTCTTGGTCTCTCTTCGATTGGGATTGAGATTGGAATTGGGGTGGAGGGTTTGACATGAACATCCAAGGGTTAGGGAAGTAAGGCATGGGTTGAGGAGGGTAGTTTGGAAAGCCTTGTGGTGGGTAGTTTGGAAAGCCTTGTGGTGGGTAGTAACCTTGAGGTGGAAATTGGTAGTAATTCGGAGGTCCTTGTTGGAACTGAGGTTGCTGAGGAGACTGTTGTGGTGCTGGAGCATGCTGTTCCTCTGGCTGTGGAACGGGTTCAGTAGGTGGGACGTCGGACATTCGTTTGTGTCTTAACCGTCTTTGTTCTGAAACAATATAATATTGTCTTGAAAAAGTACAACATTGTCTTGAAAAAGTACAACATTGTCTTGAAAAAGTACAACATTGTCTTGAAAAAGTACAACATTGTCTTGAAAAAGTACAACATTGTCTTGAAAAAGTACAACATTGTTCTGAAAAAGTTCAAGACTTGTTCTGAAAAAGTACAGCTGTACTCAAATTTGAGAGACATTGTACTGAATTTATACAACATTGTTCTGAAAAAGTACAACATTGTTCTGAAAAAGTACAATATTGTCTTGAAAAAGTACAACATTGTCTTGAAAAAGTACAACATTGTCTTGAAAAAGTACAATATTGTACTGACTCAGTATGGAGCTTGACCCCTTAGACGAAGCAATTTATCTAATTGAGGTAAATGAAACCGTGAAGGAATATCTCAGCAAGTGCAAACCAAGCAAGTCCATTGGCTTCTGGTTGTCCAAGAATAGTGTCTTAAAGTTGGAAATTGAAACAGGTGTTGCAATTCAAGTTCCAGAAGGCACTGCATTCGATGATATTAAGGA